GGGGCGGTGTCAAATTTAGTTTGTATAAACAACCACCTGGAGAGCTTATTAAAAATGCAGATGCCTCTGTCTTACCCCTAAAAATTCCAACTTAGTTTCTCTGAGATGTGCATTCAGTAGCTCTAGAATGTGCGTTGTTTTTTTAAAATATGTTTTTATTGATTTTTTAGAGAGAGAAGGAGAAGGGTAGAGAGATAGAAACATCAATGAGAGAGAAACAGCATCGATCAGCTGTCTCCCGCATGACACCTACTGGGGACTGAGCCCACAACCCGGGCATGTGCCCTGACTGGTAATTGAACTGTGACCGCTTGGCTCATGGGTCGACATGCAACCACTGAGACACACTGGCCGGGGCTAGCATGTGCACTTTTAAGAAACACCTCAGGCAATATTCTCAGGCAGATGATATTTGGAATCCCCGTTGTTAGCTCTATAAGGATAAGAACCACTTCTACACGTTTATTTTACACAATAAATGTTGAGTGAACAAATGAACAAATGAATGAATGAAATGAGGCCAGTCTCCTCTGTAAAATGATGAGGTTGGACTGGATATTTGCTAAGCCCTCTCTTGGCAAAACCTCTCTATGAATTTCAGGTTATTTTACTGAAGCTACTGTGTTCCCAGAACCATACATAGTACACAAACCTAAGCACATGAAAACACCAGGGAAACCTGCAGAAGAGGAATTAGTCCACTTTGTGATTTAACGAATCACTCAGGACTCATGAATAACCATGTTTTGAAGCTATCAATTTGAACACAAGCTAGACATACAAAGAGAGTCATACTCCTGTGTCCCATGTGAATTCAGTTTCATTCTCGGAGTAGCTGAGAGGCAGCACTTTCAGGGCTGACAAAGCCCGGAGTTTGGGAATCAGGGAACTGGGCATTATGGGAAACCAGGGTCCAGAGAAGATGCTGGGGTGTCGAGCAGCTCTCCTGCTTAGTGGAGGGGGTACAAGCTCTGTCCCAGTCCCCTGACTCTGCTCCAACCATTTCTCAGTGGAGTCTTTGAACATAAAACCCTGAACCTCTGCTCCCTGAGAACACCGCAAGTTTGGAAAGGAAGCCCCAGCTTTCATAAGAGCTATGGCCTGAGAAAAATGAAGTCTCCCATTACTTATAACCCCTCAGCATTTCAGAGGAAAGATTGGCTGTGGCTGCCAAGATCCAGCAAATATTTGGTTAGCTTGGAAAGAATGGGTGCTCATTTTCCAATTCTCACAGATTTCTCTAAGCCCAGTTCCTTTTATTAAAAACCTCAAATCCAGATACAATCGAATGGCACTTCAGGCTCTAAGCATTCATCTGTATCCCGGGAAGCAGAACCCAGAATCTAAACAAAGAAAAGCTTAATCAATAGAACTCATGAATTTCCTCCAGGAACAGGGCCCAGTGTAGCACAGAAATCGTCAGAGGGGCCCTGACTGCGGTTTTCTTTGGGTGGATGTTTATGGGAAAGACCAGGGAGTGTCCTTCAGTTGACTAGGCTCAGCACACTGTGACCCATGGAATAAATCCCGCCTGCTGCCTGTTTTTGTTTGTTTCTGCACAGCCTGTGAGTTAAGGATGTTTTAAAATATATTTTTAAATATAAAAAAAAAGTCAAAATAAGGAAAATATTTCATGACATCTGAAAAAATATGGGAAATTCAAATTTGAGTCCATAAATAAAGTTTTATTGGAACACAGCCACGCCCATGTGTTTACGTTGTGTATGGCTGCTCCTGAGCTGCAACGGCAGAGCTGAGTAGCTGAGACAGGCCCTGTGGCCTTCAAAGCCTGAAATCCATCCTACCTGGCTCTCTACGGAAAAAGTCTGTAGGCCCCTGAAGTAGGGGATATGAGACTTGATCTTCACTAGCATCTGAACTAAAAACTATAAAACACGCACGCACAGTTAGCTAATTATGAAGCAAATATCTGTATAACCTATCCTGTGGGTCAAGAAATAAAAGATTGTTGACCATCACCTCCGAGTCCTCCATGTATCCTTTCTTCCTGAACAGAGTGAATCAGTACTTGGACCTTTGTGATATGTCTTCCTTGCTGTTCTTTATACTTCACCACCTAAACGTCACACAGTAGCCCTGCTTCATCCACAGGAAGTATGTTCCAAGACCCCCAGCGGATGCCTAAAACTACAGATCACACTGAACCCTACATATGCTATGTTTTTTCCTACACATACATACCTATGATAAAGTTTCATTTATAAATTAGGCACAGTAAGGTATTAACAACTAATAATAAAAGTTATAAAAAAAACTTCAATAAAAGTTCTGTGAATGTGCTCGCTCTGTCTCTTTCTCAAAATGTCGTATTATATATACTATACTCACCTCCTCGTGATGACTGGAGATGATACACTCAAGTGGAAGACGAAGACGCTGTGGTGAAGCGTGAGGCTACTCCTGACCTCCTGAGCAGCACGAGATTTAAAACTTAAACCTCCCCTCCTCCACTTGCTGGGGATAGCAGCTCACTGTTTATTTCTGGAATTTTCCATTTCATATTTTTGGACAGCAGTTGACTGCCAGTAACTAAAAGTGTGGAAAGCGAAACCCAGGATGAGGGGGACTGATGCCGTTGAACTCTGCTTGGCTTTGAACTGGATGCTAACAGGACAGCGCTGTGTTTGCTTTGGTGACCCACCTCTCCCTCTCGGCATCGTTAGTGAGGCTGGGCCCCGAGTCCCTGGCGTTGCTGCAGTTTTGTCGCTGTGTCTGCTGCGCGGCATTCCTCCACATTGCTTGGGCACAGTGCATTTATTGATTTTACCGTTGATGGACAGTGGGGTCATTTCCAGTTTTTGGCCACTGTGAATAGCATTGCTATGAACATCTTGTATCTGAACCTTCACTGACTTAAGCAAAAGTCCAGAATGGCTGAATTGTAGGATGTATATATCCTCAACTCCACCGGTTATTACCAAACTATTCTCCAAAGAGGTTGGACCAACTAAACTCCCACCAGCTGCCTCCTTTTAGGGAGCAGAGACGCTCTTTGTGTCCATCAGCACTATTTCCATCTCCAAACCCTGAACCACACCTGCCCCCCAGGACCCTGCAGAGCCAAGTGCATGGGAGTCACCATCCCGTCTGCTTTGTGTATTCCCTTAATGTAATCCTTGGGTCTGCAACATGCAGTGAGAAATGCCAACGTTCTAAGAACGGTCCTTGAGATGATGTGGTTACCTTTTGGACTTTGTGTTTGGCTAACGGGACAACCAGGTATGAGACTATCCTGACCACCTCCTCTCCCCCGCCCCCCACACATGGGCGCTGAGGAAGGTCGGTCATCACAGCCGGTGGGTCAGGTGGCCTCCCAAAGCCTGCAGCATGGACAGGACGAGGCATCAGGGAGACGGTCAGGGAGGGACGCTTTCTCCTTCAGGACATCAGAGGACTGCAAGGGTCAGGGTACCTGCTAACCTGGAGCTGATGCTTGTGTCTTTCTCTACAGGGTTTTAGAAAAACTGGACAGAAAACGCCCCCTCTGCTAATGGCCAGCAAGCGGAGACCCTATCACCTGGGGGTCGGAGCACTCAGGCGTTTCTGAAACATGATGTAGCACTACCCTGAAAAGGCACAAATAAACCCCAAACCCTGGCACACATTTATCCAGTTCGTGAAGCGGATTAATAGGATAACCAATAAAACATGTATAAAAGCTTTAATTAAATCTGATGAAATAAAACTTCATGTTTTATTTATGGACACTCCCAACATGTAAAGGATTCAGGGACACATTCATTTTTACTGCCATTCCGTCCTCATATCTATAATTAAATCCAGGCTGCAGCTCTGGCCCAAAGCAACGCGGCATTTTAAAGCTGGCCTTGGACACTCCCTCCCCCACCCCATCTGCTTTTAATTATAATTACCATCCCAATATAAAGGAGGCGGATGGTAAAACAAAACAAAATAATAAAACAAACAAACAAACAGAAACCAGTTGTTGCCTTTATGTTTGAAATGACAGCTGAGGGAGGGTTTCAGGCGGGTGGGCACAGCCTCTATTTCCAGTTGTATTGTGTACCAAGTGCACAATCCCTTCATTTTACTTTTGACATAAAAAAGGACTTCATGAAACAAGACAAAATAACTTATGATTATATGAAACATAACTGTGACAAATCACAAAACTATACATATTAATAGAAAAAAAAGTGTACCTAATTCTTTAAAAGATTTATGACAATAAGCACCAGATGTGCCCTTAGAGTAAAATCGGCCCCATATCCAGTATGATATATGCAGTTCATTTCTCTACGTGAGTGTATATAACTATGGACAAGAGTCTGCGTGATTTATGGAAAACAGATTTCCACTTCTCCCCCCGAAAGTGCTTTATGTCAGCAACATTACACAGGATGCTCTGCTGTCTGTACAAAATAAATCTCTTCTTTTTTACACTCGCCATTTCTCCAATGAGTGGTGTTTTTTTTTTTTTTTTGCTTTATCCATTGCAAAAAAAAAAAAAATGTAACCGCAGAAATTCCACACCACCAACAAAAAGTGCCATTAAAAAATGCTGCTATAAAATGACGTGGTCAAAACAGTCTAATAAAACACCAAATAATTAAATCAGACATTTACAATCACTAGTCCCAATACTTAGAGGCAACTGAAAAGTCGAGGTGCTTGGGTGGGGAGATGAGCCTTTACCTCTGTGCCAGTGCACGTATGCGCTCGACAGCTGGTAAGGTGAAAGCTACGGCCCACCACCAACATTCGGTTTTGCTGGTGGAAACTATGCTGGGAGCCACTGAAGACCTATTGTCCGTTTTAGAATCACCCATGTAATTTGGGGGAGACATCGGTAAAGGGGCCCCACAGGACAGTAAATATTTAAATAATACTTAACAGCTGATCAGAGGCTGAATTACAACTGACACTTTGATGCAGTCCCTTTAGGGAACTGAGAATGCAGCAAATGAAATGTCTCCAGGCATACTGATTTCTCCTTTTTAGTGTAATAGGATAATTAGCTTTGGGCTGCGTGTGTTTTCATAGGCACCAGTTTTTACTTAAGAAAAGGGGGATGGCAATCTCTGTTTGGATGTTAATGAACATGGTTACATATCAAGACTATAAAGGCCAAGAAATGGAAGGGAATAACTTTGTGAACATTCCATTTTTACTGCTATGAACATAATGATGAAAGCATATATAAATCCTGTGCAATGCGAAAGCAAGCGAGAAACAAATCTGAAGGTCAGGTGAGATTCTGGGATCTAGGAGAGCGTGAAGAAGTCTAGAAGGAACCTGGGCGTCCTGTGCCGAGGCCGTCAGCTCAGACCTGCGCCGTCAGGAAGCACTGAGGGCTCGAGAGGGGAGAGGGGCTCTCAGCATTGCGGGCGGCCCTGGGCCCTGCGTCCTGCACGGCCCTCCGCTAACAGGAATGCCCTCCTGAGGGGCCTGCCGAACCCCCGCCCAGGAAGGCGGCCCTGTAGGTGCTACGGCTGCCTGGCGCCGCCTGGCTCCCTCCGGCCACAGTGAAGCACAGAGGGGCAGGGCCACTGTGAGGCCACAGAACGACCCGAGGCTGGTACAGGAGCATCTCTCCCAGCCAAAGGAGACGACACCCATGGTTCCTGAGGTTCAGCGTCTGGCTCCGTCTCCTCTCCCCCTTTCCACTTTAAGGTATAGAAGGCCACAGGCAGGGCTGACAACATCAGCTGTAGTAACCACCTTGCCTTCTCATCTTTTTCCTCTCATCACACAAATAAAATGCAATCTGAGCTCCTCATAAAGGCTTCAGTATTAAGAATGGACAGACTGTCTCTAAAAACCATTCCTTTCTTCCCAGAGTGTGACAAAGGCCCAGGAGGGATGCCAGTGTTCGTACGCGTGTGTCCTTGCTTAGGCCAAGTGACACAGCCCACCAAGTCTGCAAGGAGAGTGGTGCTTTACATGCAGTCTGAGAGCTCATGTGGAGAGATAGCCTGACGGGCAGCTTCTCAGAAAGTAGAGCAGGTTTTTGTAAAGTGGAGACTTGGACATCTGCATGAAAGCTTTTCTCAGATCAGAGCTCACTAGTCAGAGAAACGAGATTGACCAAGTGCGGTTAAAACGGACCCACGCTTGGTTCTGTATTTACCTTATTTTACCACATGTTTGAATGAAGTCCGGAAGCTGGCAGAACATTACTGACTGCGCAGCCGGACTGGAAGGACCCATCTGTCAGGCTACAACTGTCACTGGGTCCCAAGTCTGACCCCAAGCTGTTTAATTGTCTTATTGAAGAGTGTAATTATTTCTGTTTGACAAACAGTATTGTTTCATTGCTCAGAAAACATTTTTAAAGAGAGCAAGAAAGAAAGCGTGAAATGTGACTACTGGAATGTCAGAATTTACTGAGTGTCTTTGGGGGCCTGGCTCATTTTTACAGCCTAGGCCATCGGACTCAAGATCTTTTTAAAGCTTTGTAAAGGTGCCAAGGGAAATGGCTTCCTCTTCAGGCTTGATGTCAAATGGCCAAGTGCTCTGTGAAAATCCAAGGCCCGCACACCAGAGTTTCAGAAAACAAGGCTGTCTTGCTCTGCCCACCTTTCCAGCAGTTTCCTCTACCTGCCTGGGGTCAGACCTTGCTAAGAGCTGATGGTCAGACAATGGTGGGTTGTGGGCATGTCTGAATCACAGTCAGGACGAGGGAGGGAGAAAAGTACAGGGGGGAGACAGACAGACAGATGGTGAGGTGAGCAGAGGCTGTGCAAAATAACTGGACATAGGGCATCTCTAGTTTGGTTTCCCAAGAAAACCTAGGAACATAACTCGGTGGGTCCCTGTGCTCACATCATCTCGCACGTCTCTGGGCAGAGGACCAGAGCAGAAGCCATGGTGAACCAGTAACACGACCTTTTGCTTTGAACAAGGTCACTGAGGTGGATTTGCCGAACAGCTAACCCTCTCTGGTTCCTGCTACAACACTGGGAAGTGGGTGTGCCCACCCCGTTTCCCTCAGGTAGCCTTCGCTAAATGCAAAACTAACATCCCAGGAGTGCTCACAGGTGCTGTGAAGTGTGGCCAGGCGGAGCTACGCAGCTGTGGCAAAACGTATGCAGCTGGGGTGATTAAAATAATTTTTGCATCCAAAAAACAGCCTTCTAAATATTTTTTTCCTTTTAAAGTAGATGTCAATAACAAGTCTTTAAAATGAAGGAACTAAGAGAGGTTTCTGGAATATAAAACAAGTTATAGTGCGTTTCAAGGGACTGTACTTGACAGAACCTCCTTACTTTGTTTTTGGAGAAACACTGAAAGCAATTGGTTAGCACGGGAATATCGAAGAGGAGAGAGGAGAGCAGCCAGCTCCCTGGAATCCAGGCTGTTGCTGGAACCGGGGCTCCCCATGCTATGGACCCGGTTTCCTGTGCGCCTGGCTGGGTGTCGGCCAGCGGTGAGGATGGGCATGGGCGAGGCAGTTCCCTGTGCCTCTGGCCATTGGTACTGTCCTCTATTTGGGGTTTTCAGCGAGGGCGATCCCCAAACCACATTTTCACATGGACGTCACTTCATTGGTGTCCTTTGAGGGTTGACAGCCAGGAAGTAACAGGTGTCTGGTAGAGCGAGAGTCTAAATTCCCTTTGAAAAGACAGTCCTGCTGGTCACCAGCCAACCCAGAGAGAGCAGGGAGCAAATGCAAACATTCCTGCGAAGTCCAGCTCTGACCATCCAGCTCCGCCACCCTCCAGGGCACGTCTGTGACTCGGCAGGTCCCGCGGATTCGGCTGCCACCCTTTCCGTGCAGTCTGTGAGGGCATGAGCACAACGAAAGGTGGCAAGCAACAAAGGGTTCTGGATGCCGGTGGTCGTGGAGGCCGGGTTAGCCTTCCGTATAGACAGAGGAGAGCTGGCTAGGACAGCGGTCCATGGCGCTGATCTGCAGGAACGTGGTGTCTTCGGGCCCACTGCGGATGGACTCTCCGAAGAGGCTTGAGGAAGCCGAAGGCAAATCGTACACTGCAGAGAACACACACACACGTCAACTCCTGCCTCGCACCCCACTAGTGTGCATGAGGTGACTGCACTGACCAAGGCCCTTTAGCAGGTCTCTGTCCTCAGGCACCTTAGTGGAAGAGAAGTCTGAGGTGCAGACAGATGGCCAAAGTAAGTCTGGGCACAAAGTACAGGCTGAGTGTAAGTAAAAGCGGAGTGTCCCGGGGAAGGGGGAAGGGGGTCTCAAAAAGAGGTAATACTGAGTCCTAAAGAAGGCTGGAATTCTTACAGATGGAAGGGTTTGAAAAAAGTTCCAGGAGGAAACAGGGAGCAAAGACACAGAGGGAGGGGCACGTGGGGCCCAGTGTGAGGGCGAAGCTCAGGTGCAGAGCAGGTCGAGGGAAACAGGTGAAGGAGGTCTGCGAAGCCTCATCAGGCCTCACTCACAGGGGCTTTGAATGCCATGCTCAGGAGAGTGGACTTTACTAGGCGACTGGACGTTAGGTAAGGTATTTGAACAGAAAAATCACTTATTTTATCCTTAATTTCTGGAAGGCATATGGTAGCATGAAAGGCAGAATGGTAAAGATAGGAGCTGATGTATGGAGACTCCCTGGAAGGCTGTTTCCATTGTCCGGGACAGACACGATGGCACCTGGACTAGGGTGTTGAAAGTGGGGCTGGAGAGAAAGGTGAAGAAGAGAGACATTTCAGGGGTAGATTCGACAGGATTTGATGCAGCCACGTGCCGGGTCAAGTCTAGCCCAGCCAGTCATGGGAAACCCAACTGGTCTCTCCTGCCAGTCTGCCCAGGTTCCTCAGTCACAGACGCCAACACACCTGTAATGCCCGAGTGAGTTGAGAAGGCTCTGTGGAAAACGTCAAAGCCAGCCTGGCCCATGGATGTGGGGACCAGGTAGTCCTCGAAGGAAGGCACCACGCTGCAGGAGCTGCTGGGCGGCACGGTTCTCTGGGAGTCGGGGTAATGTGGGGGGCAGAATGTCTGCAGCTGCCCGTAAAATCCTGAAAATGCAAGCATGGCATTGAGCTACTGCAAGGCACAACTTCCGAAGACCGTTCCAACCCAGCTCGCCCCTCACTCACCCTAGAGTCACATGACAAGGTGCCTTTAACCCTTAAGCTCACCTGTGAAACCTTCTAAGCAAGCATCTGCAATGCACCATTTGGGCAGATGCTCTGTCACCTTCAGGGGCTTTCAAAGTTTGCTGGCTTATGAAAGTTTTATTCCTGCTCTAGTACCCGAAGCTGAAGGGCACCTTACTTTCCCTAGACTCTCCGAAGAGTCCTGGGCCAAAGGCCTGACCTTCAGAGGACAATCCTGCCCAGGCTGGATTTTGAGCACATCTTCCTTAACTTCCCTTATCCTATATTCTCTTTTTCACATTCAGTAAAAATCTGAAGAATGTTTTCGTTCACCCGTCCGTCTAACAGACAAACGCATGCACATTTCTACCTGCCTCATTATTCTGAATAGGTACATAGTATCCCACAGCTGGATCACTGCAATTTATTCAGCTATGATTATGGTTGACCTCTTCAATGAATGGGAAAACTGAAAGCGAACAAATAGTATAATGAAGAAACACATGGAAAGATTTCTTACTATTTGGAAATAATCATCAACATTTTGCTAATCATGTTTCCTTTATCTCTTTCAATTTTTGGGGGTCACTTAATGGAGTTTTCCTTGGGATCCGATAAGGCCCTTTTGTATAACCTTCCACACCTTCTTTTTCCTTTTTCCTCTTTGCCTCATGGTAAATTTGGGCCCATGGATTACTTTCTTGAAGTACAGGATGCTTTGAAAATATAATAACAAAATCTTCATTTGATACTCTACTGAAGGGAGAGTCGTGGTTGTGCTATAAACACCATTTCATTGTGTTTCCTCAAATGTAAAATGTGAACAGACCTTTCAAATACTCATAATTGATCAACCAATATGGACAAATTGTCAGTCATCTAGCCATCAAAGAAACAAAATCAAGGCGATGATAAAATACTATATTCTACCCATCACATTAGTGAAGACTTCTAACAATCAGTCTCCATGCCAGCATGAGACTGGTGAACATGTCACTTCTGCACAGTGCTGCACACGCGGCAAGGATATCAGCCTTTTGGAAAACAATTTGACAATCTGTATCTAGAACCCGAAAAGTGTTCATACTCTTGGATATAAAACTGTTACTTCTGAGAATGTATCCTAAAAGCATAGTCCAAAGAAGAAATTCTGCACAGACAGTCATCCTAGTGCTAGCTGTCATAATAGAAAATTGAAGAGCCAAAACGGTAACCCTAAGAGAATGGTTAAGCAAATAGTGTTACATTTACCTGATGGGAATATTAAGTAGCCATTAAAACAGTATTTATAAGGAATTTTTAACTATTATAATGTTCAGCTGGAAAAAAGCCAAGATACAAAGCTGAATATGGAGACTGGGCTCAGTTACGTGGAAGTCTGTGTACAGGGTAGTCTCAAGGCAACATAGCTGTAGCTGTCTTTTTTTTTCTTTTCTTTTTTGCTTTATATTTTTCTGAATTTTAATAGTGATGAAGAGTGAGTACTCTGGAGCCGGATTTTCTGGATACAAATCCTAGTTCAATGACTTACTTATTGTGCAGTCTCGATGAATTACTTAGCTTCTTAGTGTTTTCGTTTTCCAGTTTGTAAGTGGAGTTAAATGTAGTACCTACACCTCACTGAATTATGAAAAATGAAATGATTATTTATATATCATATAACCTAATAATGTGATTAATTATGTGATTAATATTTATATAATATCTATTTTAATAATGTAATTTATATAATGTTTGCTAAATAAGGAAAATAAAAAAGTAGAATTATTTTACAATAATATAGTTCTTAAAAATAAAAAACAGTTATTAAGAGATATAAAGTTTTCAAAAAGGCAGTAAGTCCTTCAGCAATAACCAAATGTAAGAATAAACACAGCAGTGGGCAAGGGGGCTCCTGTACGGTTCCCAGGTAGAATCCTCGGGAACATTCCTGGCCCTCTGGGGACCTGAGCCCTATACCTCTTGCTGATGCTGGTTCCCAGGTCCTGCACTAATTGACACACATCCTGATTTCTTCACTCACCAAGTGCGGTCTCAAAACCGCAACAAGTTTGAGTGGTTTGAACAACCCGGGATGTGCGGCTTTGTGGTCCGCGAGGTTCCTTGAACTGATCATGACTTTGGGTCCCTGGTGGCCAAGCACATGCAAGCATGGCAGACCCACCAGGAAGAAAGCATCACCGTGAACCATCCTGGCTGGTTTATTAGGATGTAATGTCTCCTAAGTCAAACAGACAACATTTGCTATTTACCCCGATGCTTGCTCTGCTAAATCCGTCCCCCACAAACTCCCTGATAGCATTCCTCCGTGTAATGTTCCTCTTCCAAGAAGAGAAGACATTTTCATTGGACTCCCCCATCTCCCCGACCAGGGACATTATTCATTCAGGTGTGTCAGGTACAGGATGGAGACATCCTCCTGCCTTTTGTGAAAACCGACCCATCCTCCCTTTCCTACCTTCTCTCACGCTTCTACGAGCGAGCAGGAGCGTCATATGGCTTCAGTCTACATTTGAGCGCTGTGATGTGTTAAGAGTATAAAAGGTCTGTGATGCAGCGAAACACACCTGGCGAAGTTAAATATTAAACCCAACATTCTGGGCTCCGTTTCCTAGTTTTCCCCTGTCCATCTGGAGCTGAGCGAGAGGGCAGAGTGGACTTAAATTCCTGCCTGTGGGTGTCTTGGCTGACACGAGAAATAGTCGAAACCAGAATGGCCCAGCAAGCATGTTTTATCACTCTCACAGCCAACTCGGGGAAAGAAAATCCTCTTTATTAAATCCCTCCCTCCAAGAAGCCAGTTACTAGAGATGCCAAAAACACTGGTGTGGATGGCTGTGGTCACTCAAATCAAAGGGCTTTCACATTCTCTTCCCAGTGCTATTTCCATAAAACTAATGAAATTTTAAAAAATTCTATTAGGGTCTTGCCACACACACTGAGAAAAAGACTAACTCATTTTTTTAAAATTTTTTTTTTGATGAATGGCTCCTGTATTCCAGCTGTTGGATTTCACATAGTAAATTTGGAAGAGACACTACCTTTCGGACCCAAAGCAAAACGAGGCAAGATGTTAACACATTTCGTGAGCATAAAAACGTAAGAGCGATGGCAAGGCCAGCCAATCTGTCAGTCAGCAAGTCAGTGGTGGTTATCAGATGCTGATCACGGTCCTGCCGGAGAGACCGCAGAAACGGAAGGCGGCACCTTGCCCTCCAGGGTTGATAACGCAGCCGGAGTGAGAACACGCACATGTGTAACAGCGTGAGAATGCACACGTGAATTCGGGTTGCCAGTAAATGTTAGTTGTCCCATTTAGTGATACAATCACTCCTCCCCCATTTTAGGAGGTATTTTACCTCCAAGAATGGAGGGATGGGGTGGACTGGGCGTGGGGGGGGCGGGATGTGCAGATAAACAGATTCTACCCAAGCCACAGCTCCTGGAGGTCAAGGGGAATCATTCCTCTCTTCTTGTAAATTTTGGGAAGTTTTTTATTTCCTTCTAAAAATGAACTTGTTTCTCTAACTATAAAAATATTAGGAATTAATTATACCAACTAGAAAATGCAGAATTGGTATAAACAAAGAAAGGAAAGATTATGTTTATTTCCACAATTCAGATATGGCCAGACATATACGCACAAAACTGGAATGTTACACTTAATGTTTTGCATCCTGTTTTCTCCCCTAATATCATCTATGAGCTTCACGTATTATTAAAATTCATTCTTAAAATCCCCTCCCTCTTTACTTTGTCACATGGGGTCACTGATGTCTCTACGCGGATAGGTTAGATGGGGAGTTCACGGTCATTCCTTCTGCGAATGATGATAAAGCAGCCCCGTGCATCTGGGTGTGGGTTTCCTTCCCCGAGTGGAAGGGGCGTGGGGGAAGTTAGAGGAGTAAGGAATTGCGTGACTGACTGTGATAATGGAAGGGGAGTCTCCAGGGCAACATCGTCCAACAGAACTTTCTGTGATGTGGAAATGATCTGTATCTCACTGTCCAGTACAGTAGCTGCATGTGGTCCCTGAGCACCGGAGATGTGGCTAGTGTGACTGAGGAGCTGACTTTTAAATTGTATTTAATTTTAATTAATTCGCATTTAAATAACCACATGTGGTTCCTGGCTACTGTACTGGACAGCCCATATCTGGGACAATCTGCATTCCCAGGGTGAGCAGGCTTTGTTTCAGGAATGTTTCTGATTAAATTCCTGAAGGAAAAATGCATGACCCATCAAGAGTTCAAATAAAAGCCAGATAATGCTTCTTAGACCTGGCCTTCAAGAGAGGAAGTATATTAGACTCTTTATTACATTTATTTTTTCCTTACAAGTTTACCACTCCAATCTTTATGGAAGGAACTGCAGTAAGAATGTATCAATCAGTCAATAATGGTCACCCAACTGGCAACCCTCGAGGGCTGATGAGCATTGTTTAAGCTGAACCTCCAGGGCATTTCAGCTCTCCTGGAGAAACCACTTTCACTTCTGGAAGTAGGAGAAGCAAAGGGAAACATGTCACCCACTTCCCTGCAGGCTGTGAGCTGAGGGCACCGTGCCCGCTGCTATGACAAGTAGAGCTATGATGGTGGAGGAGCATTCAACTCGGAGGCTCTACCCAACTGCTACTCACACGGATGGAGAGAAACACCCTCAGCCTGAACCTTGTCAAGGTGCTGTGTCAGGAGCCGTCACCCCAGTGGGTTTGTTCATGCAACAGACGGGTTTGTTCTCTACGGTGAGGCTGGGAACCACCACCAAACTCGGCACCAGGAAAAGTGCTGGATGGACAACAGGCTGATCCTTCCCTGAGGTGAGCGCTGCCTGGGCCATGATGACCACTTACAGATGCAGACATCCCACGTGCAGACCGTCAGGAAGGTTGCCCGGAACTACTTCCCCAACCAGGCTGT